CCCGCGTGGTTGAACACCGGAACGATTGAGTCACTCACCAGTGTAGTGGTTTCACACCTAGCTGAAACAAATCATACCGTGAACGTGTGCGAGGCTTTCCGACCCCTGTACAAAGTTTGCGGGCGATTATCAAGGCAGGTTCGCTGTCGGATGTTGGCTACAGCAGAAGCGGTAGGCATTCGTCTGTCTGCCCAAAAAACAATTTGTGCAAGCGCTAAATCTTCCCTGGCCCACCACCCATACAAACCGCATCGTGAGTAATCTTGATGGTCGGATGAGTGGACAAACAAACATGTGATCGTGGTGAACCCGATTTCCGGTCTCACGATGAAATCGGTTTTAGTAATCTGTTTTTATTTTATTTTATTTTCCCATGACAATTTTATTCCCAAGTAGTGATATATATTGAGATGTATTGGCATGAATACGAATCTCTGAAAACAAGCTTGTTTGCCTCTCAGTTGTTTTGTTTGAAATACATATATAAGCTGTAGAAAAACATAAGAATACTTACCGCGGGTTGAACAGGTGGCAATGGAGTTTCAAACTGCGGCGTGATTAAACTGAGGGGTTCGTGTTTGACTCGTAATTTTTCATAAGCACTTTAATTCAAAATGAGAATTGCATCGTTATTGGTTTGTAAAACGATTTCTATGTTTATACCTCGTGTGATTGCTATTTTGAAAGAAACCTCTATTAGAAGAAGGTTAATGAAAAATTGCCACGAAAATGGGAGATATTGTTGCAATTTAAATGAATAGAAAAGCAAATCAACGTGCATTAATCAGTGTTCATCGCTCAGCCAGATCATAGACTATTTTTCTTCATAACCGATAACATCTCCTGGGTATAGCCTAGTAAACGTGATGTTCAAAGCCATATTCGTTCAACTGTTTGAGATATAAGAAGTCCATTCCAAATCAAAATAGATCATTTTAGTCCAAACCTATATCCAAAGACGTTTGCTCCAATAAGAACTGCACAGTCAAATATTCCGTTAAAAACAATTCGCCAAGTATTCTGTAATTCTCATCAAACCTTTGAATCCCAAGACCTGAAGCTACAAAAGGGAAATCATGGTGTCCAACCCAAATGCCTGTACACACTTTAGCCTCAGTTTAATTATGATTGACCGATAATTCTATCAGTTATTAAGTACGTGGAAAATTTAATGCTTGTATTAATATACCAGTGCATATAACTCGTCTGCTCAGTGGAGACTGCAAATACACCTTTGCTGTCTATTCACTGATAACTTGTGTAATTAGTCTTCAAGCGAAGGGTTGAAAGTTTTAAACCTTTCTCCTAAAATAATATGGTTTCAGCCATTAAGTTAGAAATTTGTAAAACTTCTCACACTGAAAAAAATACTTTCTGTTTAGTAAAAGTGGATTGTCCAATTTGATAATAGAATTTCCTTGCTCCTTCTGCTCTTTACGAGTTATATCATTTAACCTGTTAAAAAGGACATTTGCTTACTGCTAAGATACCTTTAACACACCTCTAAATATAAGAAGTAACCAGAGATACACTTACAGATACTATCACTGAGAGAAACCCAAATTCAAGCTCAGCCTCTGTTTCCAAAGCACTCTTACACATGCATCGTCTACTACACCAGGAACATTCAGAAGCGGTGTCTTTATCATTTTCACATGCTTGAAGTTCAATTATTCATTTGTTTGTAACTCTGAAATATCGTAATTTTGTTTTGTAATTTCCCGCAAATAGGTTTGTCGAAGATGAGGCAAATTTCATAGTCTTACGTAATTACTTGCGTAGATGAACAAGCTGATATCTACTTATTTTGAGTTTTATCTTGTTGATTCTGCAAATCTTATATCGACAGATATGATAGAAAAAGCTGATCTTCCATCCATTGGGATAAATAAAACTAGTGCTGATGTGGCCTGACTCGGATGAAGGGTTTTGCATAAACCTCTGAAATTTATTGATATAAAAACTACTTGATAGAAATCGTTTTAAGGACCGTTTTCAAACCATTGCGGTATAAGATATCAGAAATGCAGGAACTACTTTTCAAAATAATTTGATTTTAAAATTTTGAGTAGAATAACGCTATCATACTAAAATTCAAATGTGTAATGTAGTCTTAAAGTAAAGTTATCTCAACGAACTAAAATCGTGTACTTTTCGCTTAACTGACCTTCATTTAACTGTGCATTTATTCACTGCATCTGTTATTGAAACATAGAATAAAGTATTTTTAAGCTGAAGGATGTATATATCGGTTGCTTGAACCAGAATAACCTTGGTCAGCCCAAAGCATAATACAACCACAATGAAGTGTTTTCAAGTCAATGCAATCATTTTGAGCGTTTAATTTTGTAAAATATTCATGATGATTTTTTAAAATTTTAAGCTTTCCGTAATTACCTATGCGCTTACATATTTTCAAGGCTGCAACGATGCCCAAATATATTAATAATAAAATTCAAAAATTTTATATGATAACATTTGGTGCTATAAGCAAGATTCACCCCAATAACGATTATCTTTTATGTACATAAGCAATTTTCTTTGTTATTATATTATGTAAGCTATTACCTCAGAAAACGTGGAAGTTAATCTAGATGATGCATACCAGCAAGCATGTAGTTAGATGAAGTGAAAATAACAGATACATGTGTGCCTGCTGCATATGCAGTAGATACAGCCAGAGTGAGGAAAAGCCAGAAAGTCAGGTAGGCAATAAATCAGTCAGCTTGAAGCCGGATGGTTTAATGAAAATCAACCTTAATACTGGCCAAATTATTGCGACGTATGTGCGTATATGGTCACATTCAGTATCGGCCAATAAACCAACGACGTTAAAGGCACTGAACTAAGCGCTTCAAAAATAGTAGTTATCATGACTTAACGCAGACGAGTTATAGCTTACTCAAGAGCCCTTGGAACCAAAACTGTATCCATTGTAAAGAGAGCCGGGTCAAACAGCTGCGTGACATTTTGTGGTACTTCATCGCTCTCTTGCAAACAGGACTTCAGACTATTTGCCAAACTTGTAACATCCGGAACTTGGTAGTACGTTTCAACTTCGGGATCTTCGGCATCGATGGAATTAAGTTTGATTGAATCAGTAGTCAGATAAGTCAAAAGAACTTCAAATATCTTAAGATTATCTTCTTTGGTTATGTACGCGTCGGTGAACATCGCGGTACTACCGACGACTGCCAAGGCACCTCCCTTCGGATCCTGCTTAAACAGAAATCGGTGTGTAAATTAGTTTTTACCTGAAGCTTATGGACGGCGCAAACTGGTCTGTTTAGAGGAAAAGCAACACTTCCAGTAGATAGAATGGCTGTTGCTGGCTTCGCAACGTTTAGGGTGGCTCCATAGGGATAAACAAATTGTAGAGCCTGCTTGTGTGGCACATCTTCTGAGGTGAAACTCGATGTCGACTTTCCAGCAGCTTCAACAATAGCTCTTAACATAAAATTATATGTCGACCTATTACCTGTTTAAAATTCCGTTTGGTATTAAAGCTTCCTTTGGATGAAAGTATTTAAAATAAGACGTCCTGACAACAGCATCTGAATGGTCCCATGAGACAGATAATATCGTTAACTTACCGCTGTTTACCATTATTCCATATTGCTCTAACAGATAATTGATGTTGGAAGTGTATTTGCTTTCCCCATTTTCTCCCATTAGAACCAAAAGTGAACCTCCATTATCTATATATCTCTTTATAATATTAAACTCAGCGACGCTGAATTTTTCTGTTGGACCACAGATTACAAAGACCTTTGCACCGGCTAATTTTTCTTGGGTGATATCCTCCTTGTTACTAAGATGATAAAAAAAATATGAAACATGTCATTACATAACAAATTTCCAAGAGGTTTTAAGTCGCCTGGTAACTTCCCTGAAATGCTGCGTGAGAGAAAATGCCTCTCTCTTCGTCTGATTGAAAACTATGGTGTTTTCTTCCATCGTTTGCGATAAAACATTAGGAACGCGCATAACTCATTTAAACAGACGGGGCTTGTGAGGTGCCTGTTTGTTATGACTTCTATCAATTAAAACAAACAGGGGCGAGCACAGTATAGTTCAGTTCACTTCTTTTTACAAAAGACGGAATTGGTCGAGACCAATTGTGCTTCTAGATTGTTGTGTTGCCAAGTAGTTGCCTTGGCTTTCAACACTGCTCGTCAAACGTCCGTTCTACATTTTGTTTCAGAAATGCAGAAATTTAGGTGCAGACATGGATAAACGAAATACATGGATATAAGAACGAACTCATCTTGTTTCCTCATAGCCTCTCAAAGGGCCAGCTCCGGAAACACTACGTCCCAGCACAGATCCAAGGCCTTTTTAAAGGCCACTTATGACTATCTCCGGTAGTCTGCTCCACAGAGGCACCACACGATTCGTGAAGAACCTGGCCCTCAACTCCAACCTTGAGCGCT